GCTATTATACGTTCCAGTGTGCTGGCCACAAAAGTTAATGGGTCGTTTCTCGCAGATAAACTCCACGGAATGCGGCCATCACCCTTTACCCGTCCCGCCGAACAAAAGTTTGTGGTACTGGGTCTGGAGAAGGAACCAAGGGATCCAGTGGGGCATGAGGTTTGGCTACAGACTCTGCTGATTCTGGTATCAAACACCACACTGATCGGATAGCGCTTGGTCCAGTGAAAGTCATAAGGTTACCTCACCCTGGGATCTTAGGACTATACTCTTCCGCAGGGGACCAATGCCCGCTTATCAACACCTTCTGTGCGTCCTCCGTCACGTTCAGCAATCTGCTGGACCTGGGGAGCCCTGCATTTGTTGTTGCCTTGGATCCCGTCGTCTGGGATCCCAGAAGCGACAACACTATTGAGAGCGACTGCTTCAGGATTGAGGGTGAGGGTATGAACATCAGGTCACTAGGACTGATGACTTCCCGCAGCACCCCCACGGCATGGTTCATGCAGTCGTTTCAGAGAACGGACTTCGAGTGGCCGCCTGAGGTTGTACCCACAGAATCAGACATCACTGGACCCTCCTTCACTTTAAGAAAGTGAGCAAGGGCAAGTACGATCAAACCTCTGACAGCTGGGTCGGTCCCCTCTGGGAGCGTCTGCAGGTCATCGAAGAGGGAGTGACCCGTAAAAAAGGCAGTGCTCTGGGAAAGGTCCCTGGTATTGGCTCTGACTGACTATCCCTGGCTGGCAGGATGCAGGGGAAAGACAAAACCAACACCCTGCCCTGCTCCCCCCCCCCCCTCCGTATTGGAGGCCTGACGAAGAAAAAAGAAAAAACCTCGACTCCAGCGCTACCCCCCCCCCCCCCCACACACACACACACACACACAGCAATACGAAAAGGACACGGGCTCCTAATAAGAAAAATTTTATCCTACCAGACACCACGTCTTACTGTTACCAACAGTCACAGAAGGAGTACCTCAGAAAACTCAGTCGAAAAACTGCTGACTGAATCGCACTGTTTTGCTCTGATGCACACTTGGTGCGGAGAAAACAGAGAGTGAACATAAGGCAAGATGGCGCTGACCTCTTGACCTTTGTCACGCTTTACGTGACATGGAAAAAGATGTTGTGGTCATGGGGCTTCCCCTGACCTAGAATTCTCTCTCCGTCATTGGCTGAATCGCAGATTAATTAATGCCTACAGTTCAAAATAGTCATTTTGACTGACCGGAGTCTATGGTGGGTAATTGAATGTAGTGAATATTGCTGAGCATTTATGTTGATTTAGCTGTGATCAAGTTTTCTGAATCTGAGGGTGTCACCAAGTACATTTTTGTACATCAAATCACACCCAAAACTTACGGCTTTAAAGCAAACAACTCAATTAATAAAAAATCAATGTTTTCTCATTTGTGTTCTAACTTTATACACATTATATGAGAATTCATAACATCCATTGTCACTGCGTCCAAGCGAACATTTTATACGCTTCCTAGGCTGCTTGTGTTGAGCGTGCCCGAAAACTGTTGCATGTTGGGATTGTATTATGGATGAAAAATAAAATCAGTCATACATAACTCGTAAATCCAGTTCATGGCTCTTTTTACTAAATATGGTAGACTTCAAATAAGTTTGACAGATAATACAAATTTAACACTGTCACCTATACAAAAACAGTGTTTTTGAAACACAAAATATTACCTACCCCAATAGACACTAATATATTATGTTGTTTCAGCTGGTAAAGTTGCGTTACTCTAAGTTCATAAGCCTTGAATGCCAACAGTTCTAAGTTTCTTGATAAGAAATAGATGGTACCATCGATATCTCCGATGGTAATTTGACCACGCCCACTCACGCATACTTCAATATTTATATCCTGGTGATAAATAAAAGTTGGATTATGTTAAGAAATGTAGCCCACAAAATTAGGATTGGATTAGGATTACCGTTAAAGTCCTATTATAAACCGCGGTTTATATTACAATGTATCAATTTAAAAATTGGGATCAAAAGCTCAAGTTCGGGGTGCGGTTTCTATTACGTACATATTGCAATCACTAAATGGGCGTGGTCATTTTTTGTCCACAACACATGCACAAAACAAACAATACACCGTACAATCTCTTGAATAGGCGTCCGGGAAGAGTGAAAGGCCTTATTTTGGTTCTAAAATAGGCGTTACGAAATGTTGAAAAATTACAGTCAATCAAAAAAAAATTCCACATGATACAAAAAATACTCAGTATTTTTAATGTAATATGCATTTATTTTTTTAATTTTCTTGGTAACGAAAAGTATATTCTAACAGAAGTTTCAAATAAAAACACGAATGCACTGCTTAGTAGCAAATG